GGGCAGGAGGTGCCCCCCGTGCTTAGGAATGGGGGGCGGTGCGCAATAGAGACCGGCGGGAACCCAGAGGGCGGGGTGACCAGAAACAGCCTTTTTAGCAAAAGGTGGAGAGAAATATACTCAAGAACCAAATTCATGGAAAATGTTTGTTGATACAAAAAGAAGCAAATGGAAATTCTGAAACTTAAAAAAAAAAACCAAAAAAAAACACCGTGGCCGAAGGTAAGAAACCCATGACGGTGAGAAGTCCTGGTCGTTGGTGAGCATTAGCTGCGGGCACCCCGCTGTCGGGCAGGTGGCAGCTGGACTCTGGCCTCCTTGGTCTGTTCTGTGGTTCTGGGACGGGTCTGCCAGTCACGGGAGTCCTGCCAGCAAGGGGTGCTGGTCCGGCGGCTGCAGTGTCAGCCCCCTGGCTGCAGAGCGAGCCTGGTCACCTGGGGGACCCTTTGGTGGCCTTTGCTGCTGTGTCCCCAGGGGCAAGGCAGACTTCCCCGCTCCCGGCCGGAGAGCTGCCGGGAGATCCCTACGGCTCCCTTAGTGATGGGAGAGGCGGGAAAGGGCTCGGGCTGTTTGGGGCCCATTTAAAGAGCAGCTCGTTTTATTCTGTGTTTTCAGTGTCTCTAACTGGAGTCAGATAGTGAAGAAAGCAGTTTTCGTGCTCATTGGAAGCATCACATGTATATATTACAGGTAACACTGATCTCTACACAGACTGACTGAATTCTTTCCCGTTTTCATTACATTTCCAGTTTTTTTAGGAAAGGAAGTTTTAGTTAAAATGCTGGCCTGGCATTGTTCTCTCTGGCAATTGTTTTAAAAATGGGGCATAGTTAGGTTATGAAACTCGAAATGCTACTTTTTCCCAGAAATTCTCCTGATGGATTTGTGTAGGGGAGTAATTGGCAGGACGCTGCAGGCGGAAGCCGACCCTTCACTTAGAATTAAGACCAGCTCTTTATTTCCACAGACCCAGCTGGTCATCGTAACTGACTGCATTGAGGTCAGGGCCGCCTGTGATCTGTTTGACCTTCTTGTCCAGTGGCTGAGGGAGGAGCCGCTGGGGGACCGTGCCCTCCGGGGAGTTTTCCCACATCCGGCCTTTCTTTGTGGAGTGTCACTGGCTGCGTCCGGGTGGGGCTGCCTCCCCGATGGGCTGACAGCTGACGTCCAGGTGCTGGGCCACTGCTTCCGGGCGGCCAGGAACTGACCTGTCGGTTGGTATGACCTGCAGGAGCTGCTGAACTCGACCCTCGTGTTCCCGGCGTTTCCATTAGCCTTCAGCCTCGTGCTAGGCTGACAGCAGGAACACAGCACCAGAACCCTCGCATTCCTCTTGCCCGTCACTTCGTGGCCGTAAGAGAAGAGAGTGTTTGTTTTCACGACAGTAGAATTAAAACAACTTATACATGTTTTTAAAACCAAAATCTGAAGGCATGGCTTGCACTAAGAGAATTTGAAATTCATTCTTAGCTCAGCGTTTTTTCAGTCTGTATGTAGCTAAGAGTTAAGGGCCTGAGATCCACGGTCAGGGAAGTTCCTGCCCACACGCGGTGATGAAGGTGTGTGCCCGCAGCGAAGCAGCAGCCTGGCTTTCCAAGGTCAGGAGCCTGCGCCGTCAGCACTCGCATTTTGTCAGCCTCCCGTGCAGCTCAGAGCGATGGGAACAGTCTGTAAGAAGTGTGGCTGCCTGTCTACACGCGTGTGCCTGTGCGTTTGAGATTATGTATGTGTACTTACCTACATCATGAACCATGAAAATGCACATTTTAAAATTGTAAGGTGTCATAATTAACCTTGAAAAATTACCTCTTACTTATTAACAGTGCATTAAAACTTTTGATTTCACTTTATAATGTTATCAGTAATAACTGAATATGCCTTCTTTATTTTTGAAAAGCGTTTAACTGTGCCACACAGTAATTCAGACGCATGTGAATTCCGCGTCGGTCTCATTCAACAATCACCTCAAAGTGTCTGTTGAAATCGCTGGTAAATTCCCACCCTCCGTGGGGTCGCTCAGTTCCTACGTCAGTGGCTGCAGGGCAGGTCTGTGTGCGCGAGGACTAATGTTAAACCTACGGAAAGTAGATGGATTTGAGAACCAATAGAAACAAAAGACCCGGGGGCGGCTGGGCCTCTGGGGACAGTGTGTGGGTCGCGGCGCCGAGCAGTGCTCTGTGCCAGGATGTCGTGGGCATCAGAGGCGGCCTGGTCCCAGGGCGTCCCTCAGCGGGGACTGGGACGACGCTTGCTCAGCTCCTCCTGCCGCCTGAGAGCCGCTGGCAGACCCGCAGGGCCCGGCAGGAGCAGCGAGCACGTTTTGGTGCGTGTTTATTGCCTGATATTTTTTGAATCCTTGATCCCCTTCTCATTTTTTTTTAACGCACGGCCCCGTCGGCAGGTGTTGGGGGCCTGGGCGTCGGCCTTGCACAAGGGCAGCTTCAGCCCAGGGCCTTCCTCCGGAGGTGACCCTTCCTGGGGTCACGCTTGTTCCTAAACTTCAGAGGAGCAGCCTGGTGGGCAGGAGGGTGGAGGCAGGTGCAAGAGCCAAAAGTGCTTCCGGAATTCAAGCAGCAGAAGCTAGAAGAGGCGCCGGGTAGAAGTAAGGTTCCTTCGTTTATAAGGATGTTAAATGAAAATGTGGGATTTTGAGTCATGAGCTAAACTATTTTTCAAATCTTGCTGAAGGTTAAACGCCCTTTTTCTGCAGCGCGACTGGAAACAAATAGCATGCGAGACGAACGTCACGTCTAGTGAGGTCTCACGCCTTCTTTGCAGTGGGCAGCCGGGCTCACCGCGGGTGGGAAGTCCTGGGAGGAAGCAGTCGTGTGAGCCTGGGCAGTGAAAGCCCACGCCTCCAGCCCTTCTCCCGAACAGCGTCCTCCGGGCAGAGCGACTCGTTGTAAAAGTGTTTTCAGATCCAACGCAAGTTCAGTTTGGAAATGTAGGTTCTGCATTTGCTCTGTGAGATGAAGCTCTAAGCATCTGTTTCCAATAATTCCGTTAAAATATGCGGAGCTGTATATTTTTAGAGAATCTGTTTTGAAAAGATGCCCAGATATTTGTTTGAACAGGCACAGGGCATCTCGATGGAAACTGTTGGAAAAGGGAAACTTTCCGAGTCGTTCCCGCTCAGATACCCGAGCCCACTGAGCGGGTAGAGGTGGCACCCGGGTGGGTGCCCGGCAGCCAGCGCGGCAGCACCCCGGACGCCAGCCCACGCCCAGGGCAGACCTGACTCCACCGTGTCTCAGCGACGGCGGCCAGTGGGACGCCCCCATCCCTCTGTCGGTGCCGCTCCTTGGTCCTGTGGGTGCGCCAGGGCGGTCTCCGTCCCCGCTCTAGGGCGACATCGAAGCTGTAATTCCTCTTGAACTTTGGGGTGTCATTGCTGCAGAACAAGGAAGCCCTGTAGGATGCGACCTCCCAGGGTGACTACACGTCTCCCGGACATACGTTTTTTTAAAATGTTTCTTTTGATTTTTAGAAAGAGAGGAAGGGCGTGAGAGATAGAAACATCCATGAGAGAGAAACATCATCGATCGGCTGCCTCCTGCACGCCCCATGTGCCCAATCCAGGCATGTGCCCTGACCGGGAATCAAACCAGCAACCTCTTGGTTCATGGGTGGATGCTCAACCACCGAGCCACGCCAGCCGGGCAGACATCATGTTTCTACGTTGCTGCTTAGTACTGCTGGGTGTCACAGTCCTAGTCTAAATCACACAGGACAGCACGATGCTGGGGGGTGGGGGGGGCGCTTTCTTAGGCTACTCATGTGTAAGCAGGGCCGGTGCATTCCGCCTCTGACCCTCTCGTTCTCCTCCTGTCCACGTGAGGTTCATGGAAACCACTCGCTTCACTTCGCTTCTCTGCCCAGTTTAGAGAGCAGGTCACGCGGTCCCGGCACCATGCGTTTGCACTGGTGAGGGCTCTACCTCGATGTGTGTTGGGTTAAAGTAGAACGTACCCTCCATATCCAAGTGCTTTAGTGGGGAATAAATAATAAAAGAAAGATTCAGAGATTCTGTGCTAACTAGAGAGACTAGACTGCGTCTCACATCCATCCACCGTTTCTCTAAAACAGCAGAAATTAGACTTTAGTCCTAGGTTCCCAAGTGTTTCCCACAAGATCAACAGTGTCTTCAGACATGACTCCGTTCTTCTCTGCATCCTAAGCTTCCTTCAGAGCCGTGAGTGCAGAGCAGTCACACGGAACCAACGACCAAAGCCCTGGTGGTCTTTCCCGCCTGAAATGGCAAATTCCTGACCATGTGGGGTGCAGATCGTGGTGCCCCGGGGCCTGGGCATCCGCAGAGGAGGGAGTCTTTCCGTGCCTCTGCCTGGCCTCCTTGGGGTAAGGGGACCCCTGGGCCGTTAGAGAGCAGACGGGGGTTTCAGGGAGGCGCTGGAGTGATTATTGAAACGCAGAATCTGAGTTTGGGGGACAGGGTATGAGGAGGAGCTCGCATACCAGGGTGCATCACCGAATTCCAAGCAAAGTAGAACTCGGCACAAGTGAGAGCTGGCGTCTGGACGTTCCATTGGCCGGTCCCCGGGGTCAGCCTTGCAGGGGACGGTGGGTCACTCAGCCTGGTCCGGGGTGACCCAGCCACACAGGAGGAAGGAGCACAGGGACCTTCTTGTCCATGGTTTCTCTGACTCAGTGCCAGCTGCTCTGTGGGAGAATCCCGGGCTGCGTCTGAGTTTGATTGTTGAAAACTGACAGCTGCTCTGTTTCTTTGTAATAGTGGCTTGGAGCTCTGTGTTCTGCCTCCTCTTGCTGAATGTCTGAAGTTTAAAAAAGGCAGCTCAGCGGCCTGGCGTCGTGGGCAGAAGCGCAGGGGCTGGAGAAGGCTCCCTTTGTGCGCTTCCTGCCCGCGTGGGAGGGAGCCTTGCCCGGCGCCTCCGTCTCCCTGGCCCGAGGCCTTTCCGTGGAGGGCAGGACGCACTTGTCTTCGGCCTCCAGGATGTTCTTTGTCAAGTGCCTTCCCTCCGCAGGCCTTTCCACGTGGAGCCCACCAACATCGTCAGCGTGAGTGACGCCCTGCAGCGGGTCAGCGACCGCGCCTCGGCCATGAACAAGAGGATTCACTACTACAGCCGGCTCGCGGCTCCCGCGGACCAGGCGCTGGTAAGGCCACGCCGCCCGGGCTGAGTCGGATGAACATGAGCAGCACCGGGCGGCTCCGGGGTTGGACTTCGCTGGGCACGTTCCAAGGGTGGCGTCATGGAAAGTCCGACGGGTTCGCTGGTACACGCCGCCCCTCCCGCTGGCTCCTTCCTGCGGGGCCTGGCACTCGAACAGCCTCTCCGTGTCGACAGCAGCGGGAGTTTGCTGTAGGGGAGGCTGCTCACCCCGTGCTGGGGGCCCACAGGCCATGGGCTGCTGACTCTCCATCTCCTAAGGTCCATATTGCTAGTTTAGGATCAAAAATACTTGTTTTAAGTGACTTGGTTGCCTATAAGTAGCACATTTGAGATATTCAGAAACTTCAAAGCTTAGAGAAAAGCGGAGACTTTCCGGGAGAAAAGATGATGCTTTTTTATAAGCAATAATAAAAGTGGAGGAGGGAGCAGCGTTCTGTACACTTGCTGAGGGGCAGGGCTGGGCCAGTACTCACGTGCATAGTAGCCAAAGGAGGGGCTTCCAGAACATTCTGGAGGAGATGATTTCCCCAGCTTTTCACTTGTTCCTCCCTGAGGCCTCTCCATTCGTGGTGGCGATAAGTCGCGGTTTCATACCAGGATTATGTCAGCCTCCGGGAATGAGAAGCAGCCAGTATCTTCAGATCTGGCCAGACGCCTCCAGGCTCTGCCTGTGGAGGCAGCGGTGGCCGGGCTGGGCCGGCCGGGCAGTGTGTGGTTTGCTGGAAACTGAGTGAGCACACACCCCGGGGGGCCCTGTGAACGGGCTGTGGGATGACTGGTGTGTCCAAGCACATGAACAGTTGGTCTAAAATTAGCAATTGATACAACCGTTTTCAATGAATGTGTTTATCCATCATCATTTTCGAGAATCCCAGTTTCCAAAGGACTGTTCTCGGGGGGTGGGAGGGTGGCCGGGGGGCTAAATCCCATCAGAAGGAGGCAGCGTTGGGAGGACGTGGACGGAGGGGGGTGGGCTCTGTGGTGAGAGCCCCCGTCCACCCTCCTCTCTCCCTTCACCTCTGCAGGCCCCTCCCTCTGGTCTGCATCCTCCATCCTTAAGAAGCCTTGCGTGGCCTTTTCCTTAAGCTGCTCTGGCCCACCCTGTCCTTCAGCCACCACAGCGTCTGAGTGGTCTGCCCGCAGTATTCCTCCTCCCCTGGCGGCTCCTGCATCCCTCACAGAGGGAGTCCCCTCCCGCCTCGGGTCGACCACCCCACTAGGAGTCCAGTCACCCTCCTTCTTGACGTTCCCCCGGGGAGGCCAGGGCTCACCTGGAGCCTCCTGACCTCGGTCTCCCGGCCCCCTCTCCTCTCCCCTAAACTGAAGAGCTGGGGACTCGCCTCCTTTCGGATGGAAGCTCTTCGTGTCCCGTCCTCACTGCTCGCTCCTGTAGGCGTTCACTGTGTTTAAAGGAGAACTCGAGTGTGTGAGTCGGGAGATTTCTGTCATTGGCTCGTGACGCTTGGACGTGCAGGAGACGCCCCGCGTGGCTGTGCGGCCCTCAGTTTGTGTCCGTTTCACAGGTTGCCCCGGACCACGTGGTCCCGGCCCCGGAGGAGCGCTACGTGTACAGCCCGCTGGGCTCCGCGTACAAACTCCAGAGCTGCCCCGAGGGGTCCGGGAAGAACACCAGCCTCGTGACCATGTGAGTCGCCTGCGTCTGCGCAGGACTGAGCGCGTGCGGGAGCTGCTGAGGGCTTTTCTCTAATGAAAGCGTTTGAGGAGCCAGCTCCCCTCCCCTGCTGTCGCTCTCTTTTCAGTTTCATGATCTGGAACACCATGATGGGGACCTCGATACTCAGTATTCCTTGGGGCATAAAGCAGGTAATGTCCTTTTCAGCCTAATTTTAGCCTGAATTCTTTTTCTTCCTATGTGGTAAGTCTTGCAGTAGAGGTTTTAATAATCCACATCAATGTTTTTAAAGACAGTAGATGATAATACTTAATTTTACACGAAGTAGAATGTTTTCATCGTCATTGTTTACCAGGTTTTTATCATAATTACTCTGGGCAGCGTCACATGGCAGCATGAGTGTTCGCTCTAACACAGCGGTTCTCAACCTGTGGGTCGAGACCCCTTTGGCGGTCGAACGACCCTTTCACAGGGGTCACCTAAGACCATCCTGCATATCAGATATTTACATGACGATTCATAACAGTAGCAACATGACAGTTATGAAGTAGCCACGAAAATAATTTTATGGTTGGGTCACAGCATGAGGAACTGTATTTAAAGGGCCAGAAGGTGAGAACCGCTGCTCTAACGCATTTTATTTCCCACAGGCGGGCTTCACGACCGGGGTGTGCGTCATCCTGCTGATGGGCCTGCTGACCCTGTACTGCTGCTACCGGGTGCTGCGCTCGCGAGCCACCATACGTAAGCGCAGCCCAGCGAGGGCAGGCGGGCAGGCGTAGCGCGTCCTGTGGCGGGAGCCGCCAGCCTGTGCCTCCTGCGTGGTGCCTGAAGCTTGCTGCTCTGCTCCTGGCCTTGGGCTGACCGAGGGCCGCCTTGGCGGTCAGAGAGGCCGCGAGTTCTCTGCAGAACACACTCACTTGGAGTTAGTTCCTTAGAAGGAAGAGTCACGTTGGTAAACTGAGGTCTTTGCAGGAACTAAACTTAGAAATCGATGATGCTTCTTCAGTTAACGGTGACTTGTTTTGACCTATCCCGACCGAAAGACCTAAATGTTGGTCTCTCCTAAAAGTAGAAATTGTAACTAGAAAAATATGGAGATGTGAGCCATGTGTCCTTTATAGCGAACTCTAAAAATTACACCAGCTCATTTCCTCCACTCATCCCTGTACACCCTGGACCAGGGAGACACCTTCTTGGATTGTGTTAAAGTAACAGGCCCTAAGCAGGCACACACTATTCACTTGAATCTTAGCCAGTGTGAGTCAGCAGCCCGGCACCGCCCAATTGTTTTCTGTCTCTACTGAGCAGTGGTGTATTTTCCCTTAATTGTATTACTTATTCATATCCCTTCCCTTTACCCACAAGTCCCTTGGTGCTCTTGTAGCTCTGCCAAGTTCTTTATATGATGTAGCCATTAGCCCTTTATCTATTATTTCTTGTCAATTTTTTCCCATCAGTATTTGAATGGCTTTTTTATTATATGGGTTTGTTTATATCTGCCCATCTTTTCCATTGTAATTCAGTTGGTAGAACATGTAATTCATGTTCTGTTTCTACACTGTCTTCTAACTTTTCTGTAATTTAATTTTTAAAATCCTTTTTTAAAGGTGTTTTTTTTAATTGATTTCAGAGAGAGGAAGGGAGAGGGAGAAAGGGAGAGAGAGATAGAAACATCAATGATGAGAGAGAATCATTGATCGCTGCCTCCTGCACATCCCCTACTAGAGATCAAGCCTGCAACCCAGGCATGTGCCCTGACCAGGAGTCGAACCATGACCTCCTGGTTCATGGGTCACGCTTGACCACTGAGCCACACTGGCCAGGCTAATATTTTCAATTCTTAACTCAGTTGTGTGAAGCTTAAATTGGCATGTGTGGTATAAAGTATCACCCAAGAAAACTGTTCTCCTCCTCATTATCTAAGCATGACGCCTTCTATCCCTTTACGAAGGGTTTTGTCTAGCCGGGGCTTATCATGTGCTTTTATTCGTGACACAATGTTACTACACCGTTCTCTGTTCTCAGAGTATCTGTCCTCTTCCATTGACCTACATTTATTTTTATGTGTTTGTTCTGTGTTCTCATTTCTGTTATTTCTTACTGTGATCTGCTGTTGGGTGCTGTAACGCCCGCCGTCTTTTACTAAACATGCTGAGTTCATCTGGGGGAACAGATGAGTGTGGACTGTGGGATTGGCACCTGATTTTATCCTCCTCCTCTTTCCTCAGCGTCGGTGGACACCGCGGCCTGGGAGTTCCCCGACGTCTGCAGGCATTACTTCGGCGCCTTCGGGCAGTGGTCCAGCCTGCTGTTCTCCCTGGTGTCGCTCATCGGAGCCATGGTCGTGTATTGGGTGCTCATGTCTAACTTCCTGTTTAACACCGGAAAGTTCATGTTTAGTGAGTACCCACGGCACGTGCGTTCAGTTACTGCGGGTACAATAACTCCTGTCACGGTTCAGTTTCCACCGTAAATTCTGGGCTTGGGATAAATAAAGAAAAGGTATCACGTGTAATTCTAGAAAATACGCTTGATTCAGCTTGTTTTCTGTGGTTATGATCTCATATAATGTGTATGCTCATTGGCAAAAACTAATTTTTGAATCAATTACGTTCTTCCAATTCTCTAATTAATATAAAATATATTAAGCTCCAGCAGGCGCTTTAAGCACTGTTTCCATCTCTACCCTGAGATTTTAGTACGACGGACGCAGCTCGTGGAGTTCACAGGTGTCTGTTACTAAAGAACTGGACGTGTAGAGTCTGGGGAAGCAAACTCCAGTCATGGTCTTGAGAGCATTCGGGTCTCAGTCAGGAAACAGTGCTGTGCACAGGCTCCCGGGCTGGGCGTGGGGAGATGCTGTGCAGCCCGGCACCTGTCAGGGCTTTCCTGGCTCCTGGCTCCTGGCTCCTGGCCTGCGTGGCTTGGGCGTCGGGACCGCCGTGAAGATCCACAGCTTCTCGTCGCGGGTCGCTGGCCACCCCTGGAGAGGCTGTGAAAGCCCAGAGCACGAAGCTCCTCTCCTTCTGCCCTGACACGCGTGCGATGGAGGCGAACCAGTCACGTGTTTAACCTACTTTATGACCTGGAGATCGGATCTAACATCTTTACCTCCTCTCTCAAGCTTTAATCAAACAGGCTTATTAGTGCTTCCTGGGTTATACAAGGTTAGCACCACGCAGAACAAGCGAGCCTCTCGGGCCCTACCCGCCCTGCCCGGCCTCCCATGGTCCTCACCTGCGGGCTCGGGGTGCACGGGCGCTGTGGGCGCTCAGGACGACGGGGCCTGGTCTGTGAGAGCACCTGCTGTGCGGTGTGAACTTCAAGTGCTTTTCCAGATCAATTGGCCCTTGGGTTGCCTTTCCCTTTTGCGGACTTTAGACCCTTCTGTAAGGTGTGACCAGCTTACATGCGTCAGCGAGAGCAGGGGGAGGCGCACGCATGATCTTTACCCGGGCTCTTACCTAGATTCAGCCTCTGGCGGATGTTTAAGAACCTCGGTCAAGTGCCGTTTTCACAGCAGGACAGGGACGCCAGGGACTTGCCTGTGGGAGGAGGCCGAGCGGCCAGCTGTGTGTGGCTGAGGGGATCTGGTTCCGTGGTCAGCAGTGCTGCCCCGAGACGTCCTTAACAGGTCGTTACAGATAAAAGGCTTTAGCGGTGATCAGTTTAGCATCTCATTCAGGATTATCGAACTCTGTTTTTCCTTAATTTTCAGATTTTATTCATCACATTAATGACACAGATGCTGCACTGAGTACCAACGATAGCAACCCTGGTAAGTAGTGTGAACTTAACGTCTAGCTTGTTTTCTTATTCCCCACTTTGCTTCAAGATAGATTTAAGGGAGAGATTATGACTTGGTTTTAGGTAAATGATGATCACAAAACCATTACCACTGTGTTAACTGGGCCACTATCCAATTGTTGGCCATCGATGTGTTTTAAAAAGCGCGAGAAAGCCAGCTCCACGCCAGGTTGTGCTGCTGTGAGGTGAGGGACGCAGGGCCTGTGCACAGCTCACAGCGTGGCCACGTTGCCGGCCCGTGTTTGCCTGTGAAGACTCAGCACGTGTTCCACCTGGACCCCTGCCCAGGTTTGGTCCGGGCACGTCCTCAGTTTGCTGACTCAGTTTTAGGCACTTGGTGCTCAGTCGCTGATATTAAGGCACACACGCCTGTATCCTGTGGAGTAACCCCCTTCCTGACGGTGAACGGCAGTGAACACGCACGGACTGGCGGTGCGCCTGCGCTTCCTGCGGGTGGCGCTGAGGACGCCGCCCTGTACGGCTCACGGCTGAGTTCTCCCCGGAGCGGCCTTCACGGGAGCCGCTGAGCCCGGGGCAGGGTGGGCCGGGTCCCACCCGACAGAAGTTGCCACGTCGTCAGTGCTAGGAAAACAGTTTCACTTCCCCGTTCCCTGGATAACATCTGGGCTCCCGGCTGCCATGAAGTGGGATAAATTCCAGGAGAATGACTCTGGATTCCTGGAATTGAGGATTCCTACGCTCTGACCAATGATTAGGTGTTGGCAATACCGTGACAGCTACTTCAGCGATGTCCGCTTTTTATTCCAAAACCAGAGATGACTTCATTGTGAGCAGAAGCCTGTCCTGTGGCCGTGGGGGGCCGATCGCAGCACAGCTACCCTGAGTGGCGTCTCTGATGTCATTATACACATGAGATCAGAGGCTGCCGCCAACATGCTGGAGCCGATAAGATGCCCCCACCCAACGCCTTTGGTCCCAATATCTGCTCTCTGGCCGTGGAGTCAAAGGGTTTGGGGGAGCATCTCATAGTTCCCAGTAGGAATGAGGGGTGTGCCTGCACATTCTCTAACATTCTTCCCCCTCCATTGTGTCTAGGTAGGAGGCTTATAATATCTAAGGATAAGCCTCCGTCGTTTCCAGAGAGGAGGGACTGGGTGTTGGGGTGCAGGCTGAGGCTGGGGCCCGTGTGCACCTCCGGGGGTCCTGTCTGCTCCCCGCGCTCTCTTGACCGACGCTTCCCGTTGCAGTGACCTGCCCGAGCGCCAGCAGCGGCCGTCCCGACAATGGCTCTGCCGTCTTCTCCGCCAACGCCACAGGCCTGCAGCAGTTTGAGAGGTGGTGGGACAAGTCCCAGACGGTGCCCTTCTACCTCGTAGGGCTGCTCCTGCCGCTGCTCAACTTCAAGTCACCGTCCTTCTTCTCCAAGTTCAATGTCCTGGGTGAGCTGAGGTGCGAGGCGGGTGCAGGGAGCCTCCTGTGCCCCGTGGAGGTGCCTGGGCGGTGGGCGGCGGGGGGCGGGGCTGCCCCGGCTGATCCTCTGTGTTAATTATTCAGGCTCACATTTCCCTGCTCTGGGGCTGGCTTTTTGTTTTGTTTCGTTTTTTTGTTGATCCTCACCCCAGGATATTTTTCCATTGATTTTTAGAGAGAGGGGAAGAGACAGGGAAAGACAGAGAGAGAAACATTGATGTGAGAGAGACACATCAACTGGTTGCCTCCTGCACACACCTCCCACTGGGGCTGGGGATCAAGCCTGCAACTAAGGTACGTGCCCTTGAGTGGAATCAAACCCGGGACCCTTCAGTCCGAGGGTCGACCTTCCATCCACTGAGCCACACTGGCCAGGGCTTGGGCTGTCGTTACGGACTGGCACAGAGGAGACGGTGATGACAGTTTCAAATCCAGGTCCCTCCCAAGGCCAGTCGCTGGCCCCCCACTGCCCTCCCTGAGCAGCGCTTCCCTGCTCCCTGTGTGTGGGGGGGAGGGAAGGAGGAGGTAGACGAGTTTGGGGGGGGGGGCTCAGTTCCGAAGGCTGGCAGCGTTAGCGCTCACTGAGGGAGGACGTGGAGTGGCTCTCCACGTTCCTCGTTAAGAGTGTAGCGCAGACTCGTCACCCGACTTTCCACCTGGGTGTCGTCTCTGCTCACTCCTCAGGCCTGTCTGCCTTAGCGCTTCCTGGCGCTTTTTCTTCCTGGAACACGTTTGCCTCCTAGAGGGGCAGCCTTCCTCCTGGGCGCCTGTCTCGCACGCGCTTCTGAAATCACTGAATGCAATCTGCCCGTGTCTTCTCTTACAGCCTTAAGGTGACACAGGCACCGGGTGCCAGCTCTGAGCTGGTTAACTAGACGGGGGTGCCATCATCAGGAGGTGATGACTAGCTAGAGCATAGCATCTCACCTCCCTGTCGGTCCGATCCCGGGAGGCAGCCTGGAGTGTAAACTCCTCAGACTCACATCACGCTGAGCAGTTGGCTCTCGGGTTCCCAGCAGACGGGGACAAGGGAAGGCTGTCCCTCTTCCCTCTCGGCCTCAGCAGGACACATGCTCAGACCCAGGAAACGAACAGTCTTGTCCTGCCAGCTGGGGCCTTGTGTCTGCAGCCTCCCTGCAGCCCCCTCCAAGCCCACAGTGGCCTTAGTGGCTCGTCTGTGGTTCCCTGACTCGCCCACCGACTTCCGAGGACCAGGTCTTTGACGGTGAGCAGTGAACTTAGGAGAATGCGCTCAGCTGGGCCGAGCAGTTGCCAGCCTCTCACCAGGCTGATCCTTCCGCCTCCTTAAGGACAGTCTGCCTCTGCCGTTTTTCTTGGTACTTTTCTTTTAAAGCTACTTTTTGAGAGAAATTAGCACCTGATTTCCCTAGAAACCTCCTGGACTCAACTCCATTATGACTGGACCTAATTCCTTACCGGGAGCGACTCTCCGACTCCCAGGCTGAGACCTTCGAAGCCCCGCCCCTGTGCCTGATGCGGAGGCTGGACCGTCCCCCCCAGCAAGCAGCTCCCCTCACAGCCTCCCCCAGGCCCAGGCAGTGCCCCCGGGCTCCAGGCCCCTCGCCTGGCACGGGATGTCGTGACTGATGTTCCCAGCCTGTCGATGCCCGAACCTTCCAGCGTGAAGAACGAGCCCCTTTTCTGCTGTGCGTCCTCCTGTGTCACCTGGCAGTTTTGTGATGGAGTCTGTGGCCTCCGCTCAGCTCAGCTCAGGCGTGCGCCGGGCAGTGGGCGCTGGGCCTTGGGCAGCGGGCGATCAGCGATGTCTGAGGCCCTTCCTCGGGTTCTCCGGGGCCTCCTGCATCGCCTTCGCTCTGTCTCTGCTAACGCGCCGCGCCCGCTCCTGCCTTAGCTCCCACCCGGCGTGATGGGACTCGGTGACGGTGACAGTGTCCCGTCTTCGCCGAGCATCCGGATGAAACCCCTCAAACATGAGAAGATGCTGAGTGGCTCTGACGTCCCCCCGCAGGCACGGTGTCCATCGCCTACCTGACGTTCCTCGTCACCTTGAAGGCTGCGCGCTTGGGGTTTCACCTGGAATTTCACTGGTTTACGCCAACGGAGTTCTTTGTGCCAGGTGAGCTTCTCTAAAGGAAGGAATTGGTAGCGGATCTTGAGGTTCACCACCTGGACTGCTGCTCTTCTAAGACGAGGAGCGTCTGGCTTACGCTGGGCGTTGTCATGGGTGCTGTTAAGCGGAAACAAGTCCCGGGGGCCCTGGCTGGTGGCTCCGTTGTTTGGGGCATCGTCCTGCACCTGAAGGTGGCGGGTGCGAGTGCCGCCAGGGCGCCTGCCTGGGCTGCAGGTTGGATCCAGGTCAGGGCCCGTGGGGAAGGCAGCCGGTTAGTGTTTCTCTCTCCCTCCCTCTCCTCTCTGAAACCAATACGCACGCCCTCGGGCGAGAATTTAAAGAGTCCAGCTGAAATAAATTACTCTGCTCTTCCTAGTTAGGGAGCACGGGGTCCTTTGTCATCTGTGCCTGGGAGGGACATGCATTCAGGTGACCACGCAGTCAGAAAGTCGAGGTCGCGTTGTCCAGACGTCGCCGAGCAAACGTAGCCCTGGCATTTCAGGGACCTCACACGTGGTCCGAGATGCACATGCGTGGATAGCACTGCCCGTCGCTGATCCCGTGGGGCTCCTCTCGCTGTCGCTCAGGCCGATGTCACTGTTACGTGTGCCCTCCCTCCTCTCTTCCTCATGGTTATAACTTGGCAATTTCTTAAGTTTCACCCAAATGCGCGGGTTTGGACATGATAAAACGCACCGTGAGGCCGAGGTGGGTCGTGCTGAGTGAGGAGACAGAGCACTGAGCAGGGGTGGGGAACGCCTGGCCGGGCCACAGGAGGCCCAGGACGTCACGTGGTCTGGCCTGCCCTGACATTAGGTGAGGTAACTGGTGACCAAGCAGAACAGCTGAGGGGCATGCGGTGTGGCCACAAACGATGTCACCAATCCCATGGCTCTTGGCAGAGAGAAGGTCCCCACCCTGGGCTAGAGCGTCCTGACGACGAAGGAGGAGACGGGGTTCTCGGACGGCTCCTTCCCTTCAGTGCCGACCCGCACAGCCGGTCCCTCCTCCACCTTAAAGCAGGGTCTCCCTTCCCCTTGGAACCCCGTCCTCTGATTCTCTTACAAAGCGGCGCTTTCTCATGTTTCTACCTCTAAGTGATGGACTTACCCAGGGTTTAGCGCTCAGACCTCTTCTCTCTCCGCCCTGTTCCCTCAGCAACGCCTCCTGGTCCCCTGGCTTTACCTCTTGTCTCCATGGCGACTAGTCTCAGTCTTGTGTTCCAGCCCGGAGCTCTCTGCTGACGTCCATCTCATCCCCCACCTGCCCCCACACCCCCACCTGCTGTCCACTAGTGTCTCGGACTGAACGTGGACACAAACCGAGTGCTTGTCTCCTTCCTCCCCTGACCCCACCCGCTTACCCGGCCCTTCTCGGCTTTTCTGTCTCAGAAACGGTAGCTCCAGTCCCCTCGATCGGCCCGAAGCTCCGGAGACCTGCCTGCCTGTTACACACACACACACACACACACCCGTGAGCACGTCCGCTCTGCTGCTGGAGTAAAGCGGGGACCTGGCTACTTCCTCTTGCTTCTACCAAAAAGAACTCGGTCACGCTGCCAACCTCCCTGGACGATGGGAGCCTTGACTAGTTCCCTGGGCAAGAGGACAAGAAAACTCCCCAAAATTGCACCCTCAACATGTCATCTATGAGACGTTTGGATATTGAGGAAGGAAAGAGGGAAGGAGGGAGTTCTGTCTTGGAAATTAAAACTAGAACAGCGCGGAGTGGGGATTCCGGCCGGCGGATCTCAGGGCCCCCCCACCACACACACACACACACAAGGCACACAGACACACACACACACACACATGCACACGCGCGCGCGCGCGCGCGCACACACACACACACACACACCGAGTAGACACAGAGCAAAGCTCGCCCTCCCGTGTGAAGGCAGTTACGGCAGGAAGTTGTCGAGACTGAGGGTGGCTGACATGTCCAAGGGGTGTGACGGGGACCATGCGCAGCGATGGCAGCCAGAGGCACAGACCCATCGGGGGTGGGGGTGGGGTTGGAGGGGCAGAGCGACTGGTGGTGTCGTGTGGAAGCCTGGGACGGGGACGAGGAGCGGCCGTGTCACCTGAGGCAGCCGCTGCCGTCCCTCCCCGGCACCGCTCTGCTCACCGTGAAGAGCATCTGCCCATTTTCCCAGGAACTTTCATTAAATACCCTTCCGCGCGGTCAGAAGTGTATACAGTAGAAATAAGGATTCAAAGAAAAGTGTGAGATGCAGTGAAATCATGGACGCTTGGATGGACAGATATATGGGGGGAGGCAGGGAGGGGGGAGGGAAGAAGAAAGATAAGAAACCAGAGCATCACTCAGGTGGCCCAGTACCCAACTAAACATAGTTCCATGGAGAAGAGGAAATGAAGGGGATAAAAGTCAAAGAAATAACTGAAGACCTTTCCCCAGCACCAAAGAGCATAGCCTTCTCTGTGTGAAGGGCTCCACGTGCCCAGCTGGGACTGAGACCCACCCCACAAGCCACCGTCAAATCCCAGGGCCCCGGGGAGGGCAGACCGCAGCCTGCAGGTCCGGGTGGGGGCGGTCTGAGAGCTACAAGACACCAGAAGTGTCACCAAGGCTCAGAACAGGTTATTTTCACCTAAAAGTCTAAGCCCCACCACGCTGTCTATGCCTCTTCAGGTCTTTTGCCCAATTTTCTGTTTTTTAAATTGATAAGCGTTCTTATGCATCCTAGATGTGCCTCCTGGGTCAGATTAAAGTATTACAGCTCCCCCCCTCGCCCCCACTTTCTTTCTTTCTTAACACGTCTTCTCCAACGAATAAAGTAGCAGCTTGAAAACGATGGTCCGTTTGGGGCTCCTTGGAGAGCACGTTGTCAAGGAATCTGTGTTCCTTAATTCACTGAGCAGTGGTCGTGGGCTCCCCTCGGAATATTTCCCCTCTCACCCCCACTTTCCGTCCGTCTGTCCGTGTGTGTTGTTCAGGCTGCAGCAAGTCCCTGCAGGCACGTGGGTCTTGTCTTTTTAATCTGTTCAGCCTCTCGGGTCTGTGTTTGGAGAATTCAGTCTATTTACACTTGAACTATTGAAAGGTGTGGCCTTCCTTCTTCTGGCCGTTTTGTTCATTGATTTCTCGTGATTCCTTTCTTCCTTCACGATTCGGGGACTTTGAATTCTCACTAAAGAGTTTTCAATTGTTTCTCTAGACTGAGTATCTGCAAATAATGTCACATGTAAATAATAATTTTATCCTCTTTCCCAAATCAGTGCCTCGATTGTAATTATATAAGATAATGCTGCCATTGAGGTGATGTCATCTTTACTGCTCTCCTTCAAAGTAACTTCGTGTTCATTGCAGAAAATTCAGAGCATAGGGAAGGGTTACTTTAAAATAAATCCATTCGCCAGAGATAACCACCAGCTGCGCTTTGGGCTAGTCCTCCGATCCTTCCTTGCGCACACGCGTGCGCAGTTTTAAGTAAAAGTAAGATCCTGCCGCGCGTGCTGCTCGGGTCGTGAGCACTCGCCGTACAGAGCATGTTCTCACACCTGCGTGTCCCTGACAGCTCACCTTCCAGAGGCCATTTCCCCGCCTTGCCGACGTTCACGTCATTTCGGTATTTTTAAGCAACGCTGTGCAGATCAGCCATTAAGAAATGTTAAGTGACCGGTTCTCCCTCCCACGATTCCTCTTCTAAAGGTACTTTTTTTCTGGAAAATCAAAGTATTAGGAGAGGGGACTTGCGGGTGCCTCGGAGCCTGCATTTGAATCTGCTCTGCCACACCCGCTCAGGTGCCTCAGGCACCCTCTGTGAGGTCCCTCCCGAGGGGTCACTCTCCGAGCTGCTCCTTTCCCTCTTCAGGCACTTGCTCAAGTAGAACGAGAGCCTTGGGGGACTTTATAAAGAGGTTTTGTATTCTTCCTCCCTTGTCAAACTTGCTCATTTTCTGGTTGTCGGTGTTAATGTGGTTCCCCCTCTTTCTCTCCTAGAGATAAGATCTCGGTTCCCACAGCTGACTGGTGTGCTGACCCTGGCTTTCTTTATCCACAACTGTGTTATCACACTCCTAAAGAACAACAAGAACCAGGAAAACAATGTGAGTAATTACCCGAGGAATGGAGGCTTGCTTCTGGGTCTTAACTTCTAAGTTTAAACCGTAGACAATGGTCAGCAGACTTCTTCTGTGAAGATTCAGGTGGTAAATATTTCAGGCCTTGGGGGCCACGTGATCTGTCATCCCTGCCCCAGGCTGTTGTGGCCCGAGTAGCCATGGGCAATATGTAAACAAGTGGTGGTGGCTGCGTTTCAAGGAAAGTTTATTTACCAAAACGAACAGCTGCCGGATTTCACAGGGGCCACAGTTTGCCAGCTCCTACTTGAGCAAGCACTAAAAACAGAGGCAAGGCTAATAGCCAGCAGTGGTGATGAGAGCTTTAAAAATACCCCAGTGATCTGAAAGACAGGAAAAGGGAAAGGAGGACTAGATGGGACAGATAGAAAACACAGCAAGGTAACAGCTTTAACCCCAGTAACACGGATAATTACATTAAATAAAACTAGTCTAAATATTGCAATCAAAAGATAGGGATTGTCAGAACGATTTAGAAATCTACCCCTATGCTACCTATAAGAAACTTACTTCAAATAGAAAGATGTACCATAAAGACACTCAACAGAAGAAAGGTAGAGTGGCTGTTTTCATATCAAGGTAGACTTCAGAATGCGGAGTATTGCCAAAATAGAGAGGAACATTGCATAATGACCTTTAGGGATCGATTCATCAAGAAGACATAATAATCCTACATATGTGTGCACCCGATGGCAGAACTTCCCAATCATGAAGCAGCAGCTCTCAGAACTGGAGATTTAGGACTCCTCCCTTAGTAACCGAGAGGACAAATAGAAGAGAAATAAGGCCCAGGAAACACGAAAAGCACTAGCAGCCTTCGTGGTCTCACTGCATTTATAAAAGTCTCCTCTCAGACAGCAACAGGATGGACATTCATCTCAACTGCACGTGGAACCTTTACCAAGATGGACCATGTACTGAGCAAGTCCCAATAAATTTGAAAGGATTGAAATCATACCAAGTATTTCTTTGACCATAGTGAAGACATCAATAACAGAAGGAAATTTGGGAAATTGAAAGATATTAAACAACATATTCTTAAATAACCAACAGATCAGAGAAGAAATTACAAGAAAAAATAGAAAATGCTTGGAGATTACTGAAATTGAGACAAAACATACCAGAATTTATAGGATGCAGGTAAGCAGTGCTTAGAGGGAAATGTACAGCCGTAAACACCTATATCGGAAGAGAAGAAAGATCGCCAGTCAATAACCTAACCTTCTACCTTAAAACTCTGGGAAAAGAAAAGCAAACTAAACCCAGAGCGAGCAGAAGGCAGCCAGTTCCTGCGGCCTTGTCTGCGGATGTTGGGCTCAAGGTGATGGCTTCTAACCATGTAAACAAAGTCACGATGAAGCTCTCGCCGAGGTCCACACGCTGTCGCTGAACCACACAGGAAGGAAGCGCTCTCGGGCCTCGGGTTCTGAGGAGGCTCCAGGTAGCATCGGGCAGAGGCGTCAAGACGGCACACATCTTCCTCAGTGGAAGGAAGTTAGCTGTCTACGCGGGCAAGATCGTAGGCCAGGCTCATCGATCTGCATCTTTCCTGTCACCTGGGGACCTGCATCTGGCATAGGACCTGTGAGTGGGGTTGGGATTGAGTGAATCTGGATTTTCCAACGTTCCTCACTTGGTGACCTTCAAATTACCTTGTCTTCCTATGAAATAATAGTCTGATTTGATGCTGACCCTCAGGGTCTTCATCATAATTAAATATTACAAAGGAGGAGAAGCGTCTCATGGCCGGGGGTGGGGTGGAGCTGGACCTCCCTCCTTCCTCTCCTGACCGTGCAGACGGGATCTTGTGGACGGAGAGTGTCCCCCGCAGGTTCTTCTGGGGCCTTTAAGTTGTATAATGAGGACACGTTCGCTTTCGCCAGGACGCCCTCCTGCGATTGAATGAGTTAGCTCCCAGGAAAGCCCTACCTGGGCCGCCTCGATCAGCCTCTCTCCTCTCCTCCCTGCCTGCTTTCACACGGTCTCGTCACACTCAAGAGGGAGCGGGCAGACAGAGGTGAGAGCACAGCGAGGAAACAGAAGTGCACGCGCTGGAGTGGAACCGGGTCGGACACATGGGGGAGCAGCAGCGTGGGGGAGCCGTGGGGAGGGTGGCACAGCTGCGCACAGCCGCCAGGTGGCAGCCCGAGGGGCAGGGGCTGTGCCAAGCTGTGCCAGGCTGCAGCAGGAAGAGGAGAGGGCCTTGATGGGAAGAATGAAGGCGCCAGAGCGAGCGACAGGCGCTCCGGGCAGGTCACCTGGGAGGGTCTCGGACTGCACACACGGAGATGAGGTGGACATGCCGGAGCGACGCCCGCGTGGAAGGAAGGAACATGACGGCTCAGCAAGACGTGGGGAGGTGCTGCTCTGTGATGACTGTGTGAGGAGGGGTCCCCCCGCCCTCAGCCCTGCCCCCACCGCCCGCCGACGCCTTCTCCCTGAAACAGGTGGACGTGCTTTCCTGGCGGAGAATAGCCCGGGCCCCACGGAGTCAGACGGCCTGCCTGCTTTGCTGACCGTTATTTAGTGTGCACCCTGCTTAGTTCCGTAAAAACAAGCGGAAAGGCTTCTTATCTTCCTTTCTGCCTCTTGGTAGGAACCTGGGTGTACGTACGGCTCACCAGCAGGAGTGTCGGCTACTGTCAGGTCAATCTGTGCTCAGCTTCCCTCGTGTCAGTAAAGGCCCCGGGGGAGGGTTTTCATCAGCCCGGGGGCGGGGTGGGGGGGGCAGGACACGGGGACTGTGTGTGAGCAGCGGGCCATGCACAGGCCCTGAGCCATAGGTGCTGTCGCCCTGGCCCGTTCCAGGAGGAAAGGTGTCCGCTCCCAGGAATGGCCCCTCATCCCAAGTGGCCAGGCTTCTCATTGTGTTAGACAGTGTTTCCTCATCTGCTTGCTTAGCTTTCACAGCAGTTAGTGTTTAACATGAAAAGTGAACAGGCCTGTCCCTCACTGAGCTGCTGAGCGTCGGCCCGGCCGTGGGGGGACAAAGGCCAGGCCCGTGCACTGCGGGTCGCTCTGCGGGTCCAGCAGCTGCGGCGCTGACTCGTGCTCGCTGCTCGCTGTGCGTGGGGCCGGGAGGCGGGCGCCGCGTGGAGGACCCGCATCTGTTGACCGGCCCAGCGTGACGCGGGCGGCTGTTTGAACAGCTGCCGGTGAACTTCCTGCTGTTGGCTGTGGATGAAGCTTGTCTTTGGTGCCTGCTCACTGTCTGCTCTTAGCGTTTCTTCCTTATTAACACCTTCTGTTCTGCACCAGGCTCTGTGCTCTGCACAGGCTTTGAAGATGTGGGCTCATTTACCAAACGGAGAAAATGTTAATTCTCTGGGTCGTCCTGAAAGTGGCTTATTCTTGCTCTCCGGTCGTCCCTTAGCTGTTATTTCAGTGACAACTTAATCATTTGGTAAACAATTTGCTTTTTGAACTTCAGCCAGAATTTCTCTCATCTTAAACCACCATTTATGTGAACTTCCTACGTCTGCCCGTCAGTAGCTCTGTGTTCATCCCCCGAATAGTGACCACATGTCAGACTGACCCAGGCACGAGGGTTCTGTTTTACTTCCCTTCTGTGAACAGACGGGACCTAGAAGGGATATGTACACATGTGCACACGCACGCACACATGTACTCAATGTGCACGCGCACACATGTACGCAGCACGTGCACACACGCACACACACACACATGCGTGCGCATGCACAGCCAAAGGTAGACCTTGTGTTTGCCAGTCTCTTTGTCCTGTTGGGACGCACTTCCTGCAGGCAGAGCCGCACTGTGAGCTGCCGTCCTCTCTCCACAGGTGAGGGACTTGGCCGTGGCCTACCTGCTGGTGACGCTCACCTACCTGTACATCGGGGTCCTGGTCTTCGCTTCCTTCCCGTCACCGCCGCTGCCCAAGGACTGCATCGAGCAGGTGAGGCCTGGCACCCTCCCTGGGATCAGACCCGCTGACCACTGAGCACCCGCAGGGCCAGCGCTTCTCCGATGGTGCAGTGGGAGGTGCGGTGTGAGCGTCACGGGTGAGAGCGTCACGGGTGTGAGCGTCACAGGTGAGAGCGTCACAGGTGTGAAGGTCACGGGTGAGAGCGTCATGGGTGTGAGCGTCACGGGTGTGAGCGTCACGGGTGAGAGCATCACAGGTGTGAGCGTCACGGGTGTGAAGGTCACGGGTGAGAGCGTCATGGGTGTGAGCGTCACGGATGTGAATGTCACGGGTGTGAGCGTCACAGGTGAGAGCGTCACAGGTGAGAGCGTCACGGGTGTGAGCGTCACAGGTGAGAGCGTCACAGGTGTGAAGGTCACGGGTGAGAGCGTCATGGGTGAGAGCGTCGCGGGTGTGAGCGTCGCGGGTGAGAGCGTCACGGGTGAGAGCATCGCGGGTGTGAGCGTCGCGGGTGTGAGCGTCGCGGGTGAGAGCGTCGCGGGTGAGAGCGTCACGGGTGAGAGCATCGCGGGTGTGAGCGTCGCGGGTGTGAGCGTCGCGGGTGTGAATGTCACGGGTGAGTGTGTCACGGGTGAGAGCGTCACGGGTGAGAGCGTCACGGGTGAGTGTGTCGCGGGTGAGAGCGTCGCGGGTGAGAGCGTCGCGGGTGAGTGTGTCGCGGGTGAGAGCGTCACGGGTGAGTGCGTCACGGGTGAGAGCGTCACGGGTGAGAGCGTCACGGGTGAGTGTGTCGCGGGTGAGAGCGTCGCGGGTGAGAGCGTCGCGGGTGAGAGAGTCGCGGGTGAGAGCGTCGCGGGTGTGAATGTCACGGGTGAGTGTGTCACGGGTGAGAGCGTCACGGGAGAGAGCGTCACGGTTGTGAGCGTCACGGGTGTGAGCGTCGCGGGTGAGAGCGTCGCGGGTGAGAGCGTCGCGGGTGTGAAAGTGCACGGGTGAGTGTGTCACGGGTGAGAGC